ACTGTGCACAGCGCACAAATATGAGAAGGGCTCCCAATGAAGGAACAAATGAATTCTTCCCGATCCAGGTGCTCATCAATGTTTCAATTTGTTTGTATGAAGACGCAAATTTGTTTGAAAAGAATAGATATTTTCAACTACACTAAGCCTTTTTAGAATAGGCTAGCTGACTTCTCAAGACGCAGAATCGTCCAAAACACAATACACTAATACGCTGATTATATAAAGAAAGAACGTTTACAGTTGTGTTTTACGGTCAGGTAATACATTATCACCGTTTTTTTTTAATTAAGAACGTCTACAATTAAGAAAATATTCAAGCTTTATTTCATTATAACTTAATGCCTTCATTTAGAAATACCTTCTTATAAATTGCTTTTGTATGGATTAGTTTGCTCATTTATATTATTCAACAGCTTCAAAAGCTGTGTAAAGCTTTCTTAAATATACATTTAATTTATTAATCTAGTGAACCTTAATATTTGCAAATTTGGCTTTTTATTTTTGAGTCCTGTATATATGGTCAAACCGCAGATCCAGGGCGGTTCTTATTCTACCAATAGTGTGATTTCGGAAAATAAAGCAGTACACCTATGCAATAAGAAAACGTATTTGCAAAGTAATTAGTAACAACTTTAAAGGTAGTAAAATGTAGAAACAAAATTATTATAACGGCTTCAACGTGTTTAATGTCATTTCAAATTTCCGCATTTCGAACACTGTAAAATTTCCGGAATGTTTGAATAAATACAAGAAAGGATTGTGTGTAAAAAGTAAACAGTAAAAATTTAAGTTATCAATTTGTTGCCCAGCAAACGTGTGTGTTTGTATGGCGGGTTTTGGTACACGAAGTGATTCGATACGAGAGTTATAAAATAAGAGTGAACGGTCGTCGTAAAGTGAGCGCCGAAAGCGCTCAATAAAACGTCGATTTGATAATAATGTTATAAAGGAGAGGAAAAAAGGGGCGACTAATCGTTTTTTTATATGACACGGTGCGGCAGTTTCCGAGTAATACCGCACGCTTTACGGCTGGGGCGGCAGGGGTCCCCTTCTCGGAAGACTAGGCTTAGGTCGACGACACAGAGGTAATGAAGACGTAAAACACAAACGGACCTGACATTACTCCTTCCGTTTATAAAGCCATGGCGGCTTGATGGCCTTTTGGTGGCGTTTCCACTCGATGTTATTGGTATCAGCGTCATTGCCCGCCTCCGCTGTGTGTAAACTTACTGTTCATCTCAACTCGCTATTATTAGTACTGCCCAATACCCATTGCCCGCCTAAATTTTAATTCTGATTCAGTCCTTGATCCGTGAAAAGCTTAGATAGAGTAAACATACGGAATTGCTCTAAGATGAAAGGACTTATTGAAGTTTTGATTGCAACATAAAACTTCTACATTTTACACTTGCTTGAAACGAGTTTTCTTGGTATTTCTAGAGGAGGGCACATGTGATATTGAACGAATTTCAAAGGCAAAAAGGAACTATACATCTATAATTATCCTATCAAACTTCGTAGGTCGCGCTTAATTTTTGAATAGGTATATGAAACGGGACGTGAAGAACGTTTGAATAGGAATCGTTAGATTTGAAAAAAAAAACTCGCAGCGTACTTTCCAGTCGTGACAAATCGATGAATTAAGATATAACAGTCATGGTAGTTTAGTGTCCAAGACAACTCGAGTTTAAATGTTGGTGCTAGCACTAATAAAATTGATAATTGCAATTTTAAGTGCTACTTTACCACGTAACAACGGTAACACATCGTGAGGAAACCTGCGTATGTTAAGAATAATTTAAAAAAAGACGTTCCGAACGTGTGCGCGGAATATGTTTGTATATACATATTCTCTTATTGTAACTTACCATAATTAAGTATAAACGATCTGTATTGTTATTACTATAGAAATTAATAAATTTATTATTATTATTATTATTATGTATTATCTTCTGTCCAGAGGAGACCTTTGCCGAGCAGGGGATTATATATATATCTATGTATATTCTGTTAATTACTCTATTTAAGAGTTAAAATTTAGAAATCGGTACTTAATCTACTTCGAAACCACTTTTAGTGCCTCTTACTCCATTGTGTAATTTTATTTTTATGGGAAGCCATTTGCTAGTAATTATATATGTATATAAAAATATTTATTATGTTTCACATACATTGAAAAAATATCGCTCGAAAGGAAGAACATATCATTTTCCATATGGTAGTGCATTGACTCCCTGCTATGCGCATACATTTGTACATTTATTTTTCATCGAATCATCGAATCATCGGCGGTAAGAGGTTGGATGTCAGAGTTAATAATTAAAATCACAATGCCTTTACACGTGTTGAGCGACATTTGTCAGACGATGAGTGTGCAATGCAAGGGCAAAGGCGCCGGTGTGAGTGTCGGCCGTCGGACTGTACAATGAAGTGCAAAAAAAACTGTTCAAAGAACCATTTTTTTATGTTTTAATGTGGCGTATATTATGTATTCGTTGTCAGATAACTGTGCGCTAAATAAAAACAAAAAAAAAATTTTACCTCAAGTTTTCACTGAACCTCCATCTGCGTAATGCTGCATAATTAGCAATCAATAAAAGCCATCTTTAATCTTTGAGTATATCTTACTTTAAATACGTTGACGCCCTTTGTTGTGAAAAAAATGTTATTTCATAAGTATAAACGTTAAAAAGTTAAAAAAATTGCACGTAAAGTATTGCAGCTCAATCAAATAATGATCTTTTTTGTCATTTGTTTTCCTTTTTTTCTTTATTTTTGATTTGTTTCAATTTTTAAGGTTTACTTATGGTTTAATAACATATTAATTAACTGAACAGAAGCTGAAATGAAAATATCGTTAAAGAATGCTAAGTAAACCTATCATTGTTACCAACCAAATGGTTCTGGCTTATCGTCTATAACAATTTGTTGTTATATATAGATGATACCAAATATACATTTTTGTGACAAGAAATAAATTTAAAATAAATCGTTTTTTTTAAACCACCCTCGAATTTTTGCAAGCGAGTGTAGCTACTAAGCACGCTGACACTGCTAAACAGCGTTTTTTGTCTGATATCGCGCGGTTCATTCTACAATTTGAATCTTGCTCTAATAGCTTTAAAGTTCTTATTAAATATTAGAGTTTTTAATGCACCGCGGATTTCATTGAAAGGGGATTAATTAGTGATTTTGTTCACATCTTCATTTCTCAGCTACCTGACTATCGAGTGTGTTTATTTTGTTTTATTAAAAGGCGCTTTATAATAGACCTTACTGCTGAGATGTTATTGTATCAGATACCTACTGCATATCTTGTCACGTGTATAACTGTACCTTTTGAAAGTCAAACCATCGTATCAGTATTAAAATTAACTGGCAGACGATAATGCATTAACACCAGCTACATTGAATATAATTTCCTTCAAACAATTATTGTTTGTCTATTAAGATGGTGATGGTCGGTTACATACATTTTTAATCTAAGGCCTATCTCCTGAAAGAAATCGAAGGAATGGAAGAAAAGAAAAAAAGCGTACAAATGACAAAATAAAGAACATTGTATTTTCTTAAGGTGCAATACGTTATGTTTAAAATGGTTTCAAGGTATGGCTTCAAATCACAGTGCAATGATTCTGTGGCGTAGTCTATCAAGGTATTGGCTTTGGCACCGAAGTCATGGGTTCGATTCCAACCACAGCATATCCACAGATAATTGACGGATCTGGGTGTTTATCCACGTAAAATTTATGTATTTAAAACGACCTTACAAAAATATATGGATAATGTTACCCGGCAGTAAAAATCTTCTAGTAGTCGTTTCAGAATTACTATTCAAAATAACACAAAGAATTCCTGACAAAATAAAATAAACGGCTTCAAAGTGTGCGTCACAATTTCGAATCAGCCATTAAAAATGTTCATTGTAACCATCTTCTTAAGCAGCGATTTATTAATTTATTACCATGATTTTTTAAAAGTTCCACTGGCATAGGTAGAATAATCATAATATAAAGAAACAATGTAACATTAATATTTCGATAAATTTGTTCAAATTGTATCAGACAAAAAATAAACACTTCCAAGGGCGGAAACTGAAGCCACGTCTAAAATGAATTATAGCTGGACGATTCGCTCCGTACAATCGTTGCGCGGCTAAAAACAATCGTTCATTTATCAAAAGCAAACAGCGAGACCGGCGGCGAGTAATAATAAAGATGATTTATTAAATATCAACTCCTTTCACACGCAATAAAACAGAAAGCTCGAAACGGAAGAGGTCGGGATCGCTAATTACTTTTTAATTCGCCATTCCGTTTTCGGTTACGTCGTTTTCGAGTGACGGCGATTTACGCGGGAACTCTTAGTGCTCGTGCGGTGGGCTTTTTTCTCCGGCCTTTATAAATGTCATTTAGAGTGTTGCATTTCGTTTACATTGAATACATTCAAACGTTGTAATAGTAATGAATAAGTTGTATAAATAATTCAAATCATTGTAATTAAAATTTTAATTGCCATATTAAAATTTTAATTATCTATAAAATATGAAAGTAGGATAATACAAATTGGTGAATAAACTTATATTTATCTCGAAACAGTAGATCAGGACCCCTAATTACTTTTTAATTTTCCATTTCGTTTACGGTTAAGATTTATTTTGTACTGACGGCGATTTACGCGGGAACTTGCCTTGCAGCCATGACTTTTTCAACGGTCATGGAAGCTGTTACTTACAATTTTGTATTAATAATAAATAACTTATAAGGGTTTGGTTAAACAGTAAAGAACATACATTTGTAAAGATTTATAAGTGCAAACTGTATAAAATAAAAGTATTATTAATATTTTTTTATAACAAATATGCATGAATTACATCTTTAAATAGATATGTATTCTATTTAAAAATTTAATTCAACTGTAATAGGTATGACCACGGTTCATCGAATCTATGAGGCTATTTACCTCATCCTGTGGTAATCGCTCATAATGAAATTTCAATAAGTCCGCAGTTGTTGGGTGGTGGACAAACTGTCAAGGTTTTTCAAAATCTTCTGCAGTATATCCCTCGCGTGCTCAATCGGATTCAAGTCCAGTGTTTGAACGAGCCACGACAATGCAACTTGAATGTTCTCCTGCAAGAGCCATTTTTTGTCCTCCTGGCTGTATGCATTGTCGTGCATAGGAGTAAAATCTGAGCCAATACTCTGAAAAGGGAAGAACATAAGGCCGCATAACGCTTTTGACATAAGAATCAGATCCTAACGTCTGGTTTCCATATTCAATCTACAGACAGATTTGGATACTGGAGATAGGTTTATGACGTAGGCACGTATTATGTAGCTAATGTGAAATACCTATCGCTAGTAACCAAATCTGTCTGTAGATACAATATTACAACCGCCCGAAAGTAGCCATTTATGAAATTTACTGTGGTAGGGCCACGCACGAATGGGCAGGTCCGTCTGGGTAAGTACCACGACCTCACAGAAGATCGGCGTAGTGTAGAAGTGTTATACTTCTGCGTTTCGTCTGGTGAGAGAGCTAGCCGGGTCCCACTTTATTTAAAGATGACAACGCATTTGCAACCCCACAGGCGTTGCAAATGTCCATGGGCGGCGGTTATCACTTAAAATCAGGTGGACCGCCAGCTCGTTTGCCACTTTATCACATAAAAAATGAGGTAAGTTCGTCTGTCCTTCATTATGCCCGCCCAAACCATTCCTGTTTTCCTCTGTAGGGATAAACTTCCTGAACACACGCTTATCACTGTGTCCCGAACGTCGATAGACCCTTAACTCTTCACGAATCCGGCCAAATCGGGACTCGTCACAAAGAAGAGTTTTATTCAATCACCGGTTTTTCACCGCCCATTCTGGGTGAACTCGAGAATGGGCACTGAAAAACCAATGAATGCTCGATGGAACTTGTATTTTTCCCTTGTATTGGTTTAACGGCGCCGAAGATTGTTGGTAACACTACGGTTTACAACAAAATTCCGTCTCACCTCCAACTGATTGCTTTCAATTATAATCATATACGCTGGAATATACAGAGCGACTTCCTACTCGGCCCCTTTTTGGCCGATGGACAACGAACTCCCCCGAGTTCGCTGACCAGAAGCCATGGGAGCCAGGAGAGCTCGTGCGAAAAAGCAGCAAGCCTCCCAGCCCCCAGCGGCGGACCTGGTCTGTGGCTCCGCCGCTCACCACGTTTCGGCCGCGGAGGATAGGGAGAACGGTGCACCGCACTACCAACACTCCTCTCCCCTAGCGGCGCCACCACCACTGCATCAGCGGTGCAGCCCCGCCGAGTCGCGGAGGATAGGGAGCGCGGCCAACGCAAAACAATACCGGCACTCCTCTTCCCCCGCGACTCCTCCTCGGTAGCAGAAGACAGGAAGAGTGGCTCCACCTCTACCACCCTCGACCTGTCCCCTGCACCCTCCAACACGCATCCAGAGTGGGCTCGATGAGCTCACTCGGAGCGGCCCCCTCGGGCCGGCCTTACACCACAGGCCGGCCCAGTGTGGGTTCCTCTTAGCTTCGCCGTGGGTGACCAAGCCACGGCTACTAAGCCCCTCCGCCACGTCAAGGCGGGAACCGGGGTTGAAAATACCCCTAGTCCAACTTCTCACCGAAAAAATTCACCTAAATGAAACAAAAGAATTCAATTTTTCAATTTAAATGAAATTCTTTTTTCGAAAATCATTGAAAGAAACCGTTGGGCTTATTATTATTAAGTTTGAAGTGAAGAGTTTAGACTAAAGTTCACAATTGATCTTACTTACTTCCATTTAAGTGCTGACACGACCTTAGTTTTATTTATTTGAAATTTTTCCCTTTCGAGCGACAACGTGAAGCGACTTCCTCATAAGTCAATTATTGTAGATCGAGCAGCCTTAACGGCAAACAATGGACAATGGACGGGGGGAAAAAATGGTTAAATCAAACCGATCCTCGTACACAATACTGTTTACAGTCAAACGGAATACTTCGTCATAGCTATAATTAATAGACAATGAGTACGCTCACTGAATAATATTGTATTTTGTTGATTGTTGAAAAGCATACGTTGAGTAAAGAAAACTTGTGGTTCGATCCAGGACGTATTCCGTATTATAATTATGAAGCAAATCGTTATTTCGATATCAGCCATAACATTCCGCCCTATGGCTGCCGTTCCATTTTTAAGATGCTTTTCGCCAACCGTAACTACCTCTTATTTTCGTCTAATTCGTCAACTCACCTGGCCTGAAAAAGCTAAGCTAAAACATGCCAACAATAAAATAATGTAAGCTATCATGACACGCATGTTCATTTAATTTTTTTTTAATTTATTGTTAAAGTACATACCACTCACAAATCAAAAAAATGCAGATTGACCATATATGCCTGAGTCAATTCTATCCATATTTAGCTTAGTGATCCGACAATAACTCTATTATAAATATTTTGTTTTTAAATATTCACATTTGGGAATTATCCAAACCTCATCTTGTTTAAAGTGTTCAATCCCTGTAACTGGGTTTGTTCCACGTTCAAGCCGCTTCTAAACGAGATTGATCGAAATTTAATTTTAAAATTTAGTAAAACTTTTTCTAGAATAACCACGCGAACAAAGCCGCTGGAAAATCTTACAAACTTATAAGTCGACCAATCCAGTCCACGCAATCATCATAACAACCTATAAACTCCTTTAATTGCGAATAACATAAATCATCTTTTGGCACAAAATTGATATTGATACAATTTTGAACATTATCTAACACGTAATCCAAATCGAGATTCCGAAGTTCTTTTAAAAATACAGAACAGTCTACGGTTGGATACGGCGCCATAGGCGGAGTCGAACTATAAAAGCCGAGTGTCAGTGGCGCCAAAGCTTTCCGCTTTGACTTTTTACTTTTTAAGTTCTTTTTTTTAGGGACGCCCTGCGGCAAAGGCGTTGGAGCGAGCGGCTCGAAAGGCATGGATAATTTAATTAGTTAATCTGTGACATGCATTTTGGCGCGAACACAACACGGTGGTTGTTAAAGTAAAATATTTAGATAATTTTTCTTATGTTTTAATTCTAATTTCATTTATGTTTCGAAATTAAAAGATTTAAATGTTGATAATGTTTTGAGTGCATATACATGAAAAAACACTGACACCCGTGATCTAGAAGGATATAGTATAGGTTTCTTTTTGAACACCCCTTTCATATAAAGACCGTAGCATCGAAATGTAATGGCATCGAATCAATGAGTTTTGCCTTTTTCATTGATTAATTGAAATGACCATCACCGATGATTGGATAGGGGTTATGAAAAATTTTAACTGTCTACTGAAATAATGTTGTTCCTTGTCAGACTTTAAGAGGAAAAACATTTGATGGTTTGATTTAGTTTACTAGACGTCCTCGCCGCATGGTGTCAATGTGATTAAAATAATATAGTTAAGAAATTGTCTTCATTTACCGGCTTGACTGTCCGTATTCGCAGGTAATTGTAAATGATATAAACCTTATATGATAAAAAGTTCATAGTTCATGCATTGTTCATCATCCCATAATCAGCAAAATTGTGACCATATCGCTACCTTCTTCTGACTAAGGTATAACTGACTTTTTATATTTTACATTTAACATTACCTCTACTGTAAAATAAGCTTGTTCTGTTGTCGTGCAAGGAGAGGAACACTTGTACAAGGAAATAAAGTTATTATTTATGTTACAAACGCTTATCCCTACGAGAATCGATGCCACGAGCTGTAGCGTTATTGTGACGCCAATCGGCTATAATGAATTAAAAAATGAAATTATCCCATTAATTACCATGACGATATTTGTTTTTACATTTAGGTACCTATTTCGTGTACGTGCTAATAATCATTGTATATGTAGATACAGACTATACATTTCATTACAAGCGCGGAGAATCATTGTCTGCTGCCGCCTACAATTAGAAGGGACCTCTGAAATACGTAAACCACTAATAACTGTAATTATGAGGTATTTTATTAAAAATAAAAGTTGCCTCACAAAGCACGCGCCGCGGCGCCCGAGGCACACCGGCTTAGTCAGATGGCGTCTCTAGTACGAACTTTGGGGTAAGCTAATCTGCAAAAATTCTGGAAATCATGGTATATATATGATACGTCACTGGACTTTGTAGTTACCGAATATCATTCTAGACCCATTCCTGCAGGAATTCTAGATTTATCCAGGAAAACAGCTACGCCCTTAGGTCTTGTAATTAATTTAATGCAAAATACTTTTATCTCTTGATAGATTAATGTTGCTTACATAACATACGTAGTTACATACATATTTCTGGGAATAAGGGAAATAACTATGTTTATCTGTTCAAAAAATATACTTTCCCATTGCTGCGTGGCAGAAAGACAAACTAACAAACAGGCTTTTGAGTTCTTATTACATATTAGAAGGAAATTAAGAAAATTTTTATCGACCACATATCCGGATAATCCTATGTTTACATTAAATTCGTTTTTTTTTAAGTAATTGATGTAAACGACAAAGAAATTACAAGAAATGTAAGGTACATTATGAATGATACAATTATATGAATGACACAACTTCTTCTTGTTTTAATAAATAAATTAAGTACACCGCTGCAAGTTCTACGAATATTTCTTTCTATGTTTGTTCTATATGCACAAATAAAATCCTTGATTAAACTCTCTTTACTTTACTACTCTACTGCTCTTTACGCACAGATTTTTATCGAAACAGAGGTTATATTATATACACGAGGTTAAATCTTAAGAAAGGACATTTTAAATAATCCTCAGAAATGATTAACCAAATTTTAAAACGGAATACACCGAACATAGTCCTAATCCCCAGACATATTATTATTGTCGGCGAGCACGCAATTTCTTCTTAAAAAAGGTTGCTCCAAATCTCTAATTTACCGAAAAAACTATATCATTCACGAACGACCCTTCTCCGCTTTTTTATTCTTCTCTTAACCAGGTTTACTAACGCGTGACTTTTGACTGACTGTTTTGGCTTAAGGGCAATCTCCTATCCCGAACGCAACCGCAGAATAAAAAAAATAAACAAAAGATGGCGCCCTACACTACGTTCGCGTGCTCACTGCTCCGTTCGGCGGGAAGGGCTTTGAAAAAAAAAAAAGAACATTCGACTGTTACCTGTGACGTCGGCTAGATAATAAGGAGAAATGGGACCGGAATCAGAATTTTTTTTTGCAAAACCTACTACGTTAATAGCAGTACCCTTACACCTAATTTTATCAAACTTTTAAGCATTGTTTTAATCATAGAGTGCAATTTTTGCACGCTTAAATAAGTAAAAAACAATGATTGTTTTCTTTTGTTGGCAAAGTTGGGGACAGAGTAGGCGGTTCACAATCATGTTAACTCAATGCCACCCATGGGCATTTACAGGATTTGTGGTGTTTTAGATGCGTTGCTACAACGGCTCCGGTCCTCTCACTCATTAGATGAAATGCAAAAGCATAACCCTTTCACTTCATACCGGTCTTCTGTGAGACCGTGGTACTTCCACGGAACCTGCTCATTTATAAAACAGCATAAGCTGCTGGATGGCCCTACCACAGGTCTATCGCATGTCGTGTTGTGGATGAAATAGGCACGACGAAACGTCCATAGTAACAGTCATCTCTTTCTGCCGCCTTGCATGCAGCCTTCTTCGGCCATCTGGTAGTATGCGAGTATGTATATTTATTTATATACTTTACGAGTTCATTTGCTTCTTATCCAATGATCCTCACAAAAAAAGGCTCTATATTGACGCCTGCCTGTATTTAGTAGCAATCGAGTAACAGTATATTATGTAGGTTGCCATTGGATAGAGCGAGGCGTTTAACATTTTTAATGACAGGAATTAGCGGATTTGATCGAATTGGATCACTTTTAATTCAAAATACTTGAGAAACCTGAGTTCGATTCCCGGTACCGGCACCTATCCAATTGTTAATTTTAAGTGTCTTTTTTAACTTAGGCTGACATCGTGAGAAAACCTGCATATTTTTGAAATAAATACAAAAAAAGAAAAATAATTCAGAGATATGTGAAGTCCGCTAATCCGCAGTGGATCGCGTGGTGGACTATGCCCAATACCCTCTGTAAGGAGGAGGCACAGCAGTTCGCTTTAGGGCCGGACAGCTTGTCGCACAGAAATTCTTCAAATTCACCACAACAAATCAAATCATTTATTCATCGTAATAAGAAATATACATTTCCTCTATAGATAGTCATTTTTTAAGTCTACCACCGTTTCGTAATGAGGTTCCTCTAACGGAGAAGAAACAGGCGAAAGAAATTCCGTAGGTATCCACTTTTTTGTCAATTTTTTTCCTAAACAAAAATACATTGTTATATAGTACAATTTTTTTTACTTTAGAAACAGTTTAGGAGCGATCATCTCATTTCTAGGGGTTATTATCGTTAATGTATTCATTTATATTATAATAACCCTTTTTAAAAGGTTTTTCTTTAATAAATTTCTTAAATCTGTTAATAGATAGGCTTTGCACATTAACTGGGATTTTGTTGTAGAAGCGTGTACACCGTCCCATGAACGATTGACTGACTCTATGGAATCTAGCAACTGGCGTTACAAGCTTGTGTTTGTTCCTAGGGTCTACATTATGTACATCAGTATTATTATTTAAATTATTAATGTTGACACGGTTAAACAAGGAGAACATGTTTTCAAATCATCACGCTGTCAACTCCCAAAAGGACAGCCGCGTTGGGTTATTTTTTTACGACGTCACGAAGGCCTTCGAGGCCTTCGAGAAAGTCAGGCTTAACGGTTTAATTTATAAGCTACACTCGCTTGACAGACTCGTAAAAACAATTTGACGAACAGTCGATTTCAATTTCAAGTCAACGGAGCCCTATCCGACCCTACACATCGCGACAAGTTGTCCCCTAGTCAAAGTTGCCAACGACACAGTCTAATTTGCGACCGATCGAAACAAACCCTGGATTACTATCCGTTTATTATCTGCAATAAATGGCCTACGGGAATGTGTCAGAAATTGATGGATAGAAAGCAACCCGTAAAGCAGTAAGGATGTTTAATTGTCACTCCGAAAGAAAAAACTCCCTCCCGGCAAATTATTCGACCAACGGGAAAGCACGGTTAAATTTCTAGGTCTTAACTAGATTAAAAAAACTTACATTCAAACAGCACATTAGTACAGTAGTCTATAAGGCGAAGTACGTAATATCTCGCCTGGCACCCCTAACGTGAGCATCTAGGAAGATGACACTAAGACACCAAGGTAATTTATAAAAAGAATGTATATCCATGATATACGCGAGTGTCTATTTCGCACATATACTTTTTTATGTGAAAAGTTGTTAAGCGAGCAGACGGTTCACCTGGTGTTAAGCGAATACCGCCGCCCATGGACATCTGCTACACCATAGGGTTCCAGATGCGTTGACAGCCTTTTGATAATTGGGCTCCGGCCACCCTACTCACCAGACGAAACGCGAAAGTATTAAGTACTTCCACTTTACGCCGGTTTTCTGTGAGGTCGTGGTACTTACCCGGACGAGCCTTCCCATGCAACAGCCGCTGCTGCGTGGCCCTACCACCGTGGATATACCCGCAAATCTATTGAAACCAGTTCAATTGATCCAAATAATCAATACCCATTCAATTCCGTTGGTTGGTTAAAGCTTTCGGAATCTATCTGACACCCCCTCGAACCATGCATGGGATTACGCCGACCTACGAATGTAATAAATGACCAGGAATTCTGGAAAATATATTAACGTGCGCGTTAAATAATTTAATCCTTCTGCCTCTGCCCGACAACGAGTTGCCTCATGGGCGAGGTTGAGAAGCCTGAACTGGTTAACTTCGATCAATGTCACCGTGCCGAGGGCGACACGCAAAATATATACCTTTAATTATCACTCAGTTATTTAAGAAAATTTGGATCATAACCTGCCAAGACCACTTTCCTCCCTTGTTAGTAGAATTGACTGTTTTATGTTAATAGAGTTCGCGGAGATTCTGCGGAATGGACGGCGTCATCGTGCACAAGCTACGTTCTTTTCTACGTTTGAGTCCATCGACCCGTTACCAACGGACCTGTTCCGACGACGCCGTCAAAGCCGCCGCGATACTGCCAGATTTACGCATATTAAGTGCTTAAGTACCTGATCAACTCAATTTTAATTTACTGTATCCGTGTAAGCAATTCTGTTTTAGTAACAAATTGCGAGTTTAAATTTACTGCACAACTGACAAAACAGCAAAAGAAAGCAACTTACACAAAAAAAAACGAATATTTATTGTATATTTTTCTATTATCCATATAGTAAATAAGTTGTGTCGGTCCCAAAAATGTGTGAAATTGTTTCAAAAAATATTTTCGAAAATATTTGCTACATATTCGAACAAAATGGGTCAAAACAGTAGCATTGTTTTATACATGTTCTTTTTTTTATTATTTAATACAATTATGACAGTTCAAGGGTCCAAGAAATTTTCCGGCATCCCAAATTCCAAGATTTTGCAAGTCGGATGTTAGTTGTCGGATGATGGAAAGGGGCAGGAGGACTCAAATCATGCAACTCCAACGCACACTCTCCAAAATGCACCCTGTAGAAGACCGAGAGGCTGGCTACTCTGCGCCTGTGCTCAAGGCTAGTAAAGTTCGTTTTAACCAAGTTACGGTCACCAATAAGCCTTTCCGCACGTCTCTCCGTTGAGTCCAAGGCAGAGACATGTCGGAGACGGTTCCGAACGGATCGCAGTAGCGAATGATTGCCGCTTCGAACTGCTGGAGATACTCAGGTTGGATCGATATCGAACTGACGTAAGCTACGCCAGGTTGCGCCACTTGCAAAGATAGGTCAAAAAGTATATGCAGGAAATAAGAAGAGGTAAGCCTTCTATTTGCGATATTTAATGCAATCATCGACAGCGCCATCTCCCATTCTATTAGCTAGCAAGCACAACAGACGCTCTAACAAGCTTTGCTCGCTTTGATCTGCGTTGAAAGTATGAAAGTATGAGTGGAGAATATGAAATAAAAAAAACTTTTGTTGAAATCCTTCCAAATATCCTCATGGGAGGACTCCATACAAATACGTAAATACATAGTATTTGAGGATCATTGCAAACATTTGCACACATGTCTGGAATGGGACTGGCGTAAAATGGACCTGATGATAACAAATGTCAGACTTAGTTAAAAATTAAAATATTTAACCTTTCCTCGTCGCGTCGTAATATCTAGATTTTTAGGATTTTGACATTTTACGTGCATCTTACAAATTGTTTTTATTTATATTATTCCAGGAAGTCTTTCGAAAATATAATCAAAATGGCTCGGAATGTTCTTAAATTGGGAGCTCTAGACGCCCAAAGAACTGCCTTTTTTTTGTGTGATATTCAAGAATCTTTTCGCCGACACATTAAACATTTTGGGGAAGTTGTAAAAGTGGCGAATAAAATGGTATCTATCTAATGATAACAACTGTTACATAAGCTAGAATCATGCAATTAAATTGCCAATAAATCTTAAGACTATTAAATTTTCTAACTTTATTTTAATATTGTGATTAAATTATTATTATTTTTTTTGGTTTATCTCCATTCTTCCAAATCAATCGTTTATCACTATTAATTTATTTGAACTACTGTACTTATGCTTGTGAAATTGTTATGTTGTTTTGCCTATTTAATTTGGACAAAAATTTAAACTAATTATCTTATACAAATCTTTATTAAAGCTCGTAAATATGCCATCCCAACTAGAAGTGGATGAATAATTAACGGCGGGTTTCAATATGAATATTGATACCCGCCACAACAAACATGTACAGATAGATTTGGTTACTGGAGAAAGATTTTTGACATAAGTATTATGGAGATAATGTCAAACACCTATTGCTAGCAACCAAATCTATCTGTGGATAGAATATTGAAACTGACCAAAGTCAACAGTCATCAGGGTCCACAAACCCAATTATGACAACCTGTATTTGTGTACACCGGTCACATATCACACCAACTTGTATATCCATATAAATGGCTCATTTAACTAAGAGTCTATCAAACTCCTTTTCATGGGTTTGGTATACAATAAAGCATAGTTTAGTTATTGGACTGAAAGAGTAACTTCTTATTTGTGTATTTAGATCTTTAAGATCTTTTTGAAGAATTGTAATTCAGTTAATTTCTTAAATGCTTAATTTTTTATGTTGCGATAATTACAGGTGGCAGCTGCAAAATTATTTAAGATACCAGTGTATGTCTCAGAGCAATATCCTAAAGGACTGGGACACACCACAAAAGATATTAATATTGAAGAGGCATTTGTTTATGAAAAAACTAAATTTTCAATGTACACCCCGGAACTGCTGACACAACTGAAGAAAGATGTGCAAAACTTAGGCTCTGTTGTAATATTTGGCATTGAAGTAAGCTTCAATAACTAAATACTTGTGCATCATCCTGTATTTATCCCGGAAAGGTGGGGTTGGCACAATATATGAACCATATTGTTACTGGTTAGGCTTTGACCGGTCATGACATAAAATCTCCTAGGGAATAGACACCTCAACTGGATCTGTGGGTCACATAATACTTGTCCCATGTAGGAATTAATACCCTTGTGATGAAGCAAATACCTTAGCTACTGCATAACTATCATGATCATTAAAAATTTTTAATGATCATGATAGTTGTGCAGCAGGGTCTAAAACAAGAATATTAATTTATATTTTCATGTACACGTCACTCATTAATTACATTTATTTGAACTTATCTCAGAAAGTGCGTGATTTATGGGCTCATTTATTTTACGCGCGATCATTCATAACTAACATGCACACAAGTTCGTTTCAAAAGTATACAACGCATTTATGAATGACTACCGCATTGTCAACAAGTTCTGTTTTTTAGGGAATAGAATGTCAATTTTTTTGTAAAAAAAAGTTTGTTTTTATTTCAATAAAGGATTATACTACCGGGTCTGAATCTCCTAAGTGAATTTGATCATGTTTATAAAAGCCACCCTGTATGTATCTCCAAGTACCTATATGTATCTTACATTTCATGTTGTGGCAGTAATGTAAGATGATCATGGTACTATTTAATACAACACTGATTTCAGGCCCATGTATGCATTGAACAAACTGCTATAGACCTGTTGAATGAAGATATAGCTGTTCATGTATTGGCTGATGGTGTATCTTCAAGGTCATTAATGGACAGAGGATTAGCATTACAGGTATTTCATTAATTAATTGTTTGATTTAACTGTGGTAAAGTGACACTGCTGCTTTTGTTGCAACATAAATTGTCCGGCTTGATATTATCACTTGTGGCCTCTAGGCTTGGTGTGATGGGGAACTTTATTAAAGTTACAAACTTAAGTAGAAATATTTGTTGTATTTACACCAACTGCACTCTAACTCGAATACACGACACTCGTAACGACGTCCCCTTAATTTTCTTATATTTTAACGGTGGTAGGGCCACACAGCAGCCTCGGCTATTGCACGAATGGGCAGGCCCATCCAGGTAAGTACCACGACCTCACAGAAGACCAGCGTAAAGTGGAAGTATGACAAATACTTTCGCGTTTCGTCTGGTGAGTGAGGTAGCCGGAGCCCAATTTTTCAAAAGGTTTTCAACGCATCTGTAACCCTCGGGTGTGGCAGATGTCCATGGACGGCGGTATTCACTTAACATCAGGTGAACCGTCTGCTCGTTTGAAAACTTTTCGCATAAAAAAAATATGTCACATTTAACCATGTGTGATTCTGCTTAGGTAGACTTATATTATCTGTGGTCATAAGAGCCGTGATAGCTCCAAACAACCTGAGTTTGATCGCTAGTGCTGCCACAAATGAAATTGTTAGTTTTAAGTGCTAACTTTGGACATGCACAGCGGTGAAGGATAACATTGAGATGAAACCTGCATATTTTCAAATTAATAACAAAAAAAATATTTTGAATAGATGTCTCCCAACCCGTAGTAGGGTCACATAGTGGACTATGCCCTAACACTCTCAGCACAGAGGCTTTTGCCCAGCAGTGGGTCATATATACTGTTACTTTACTTTTGTTATTACTTAACAGATATTGTAGAGGAGCCAAGGATATTAAATGGGGATTTACTTGTGGTGAGAAAATGGAGCCTTCTTAGATTTTATAGAGTTGATAAGCAGAATAAAAGATTACATAGTGTTGCCCTTTGATTGGTGGGGTCTACAGATTTTCAAAAATATGAAAAAACATTCTCATGGAAGTACCATAGAATTTTAGATATTGATAGTTTAGATGCCGGATAGCCGGAAGTGTACGAAGTAGAGCCTTCTTACCTTAACTTGACGCGCTTGAGAATTTCTAACGGTAGATTTTTTTACTATTCTGATGGGCTGCCCTAAATATAGTCCTAATGGATTATATATGATGGAGAGTAGGAAAGCTATCCTTTATATTCTTCTGCCATGTTGAAGTAAATCCCCTTTTAGCCTCCCGTAGTATCTTAATTGAAAGCTTAAAATTGTAGTCTACAGGCTAAAAGTATAAACCCCAATCGCCCACAATCTATGCGTGGTAACTTAATTATATGTGTAAACCAATATGTTTGTATGCTATTACCTGCAATACTAGAATAACCAATAACACCTATCTGATTTTTTTAGCCTGTAAATAATCTTGCCGAGTGTGTCAGAGACTTTATTATGAAATAATCGGGAATAATATGATATATACAATACCATAAAACAGCTTATGAACATAAAAAATTGACAGCCAACTGACAATAATATAATTTTGACATATAAATTTGAACCTCATTATAAATTACAGCGCTTGCAATCAATGGGATGATATGTAACTACCTCTGAAAATGTGTTGTTCAAACTGTTGCGAGACAAGAACCATCCAGTATTCAAATATATATCAGCACTCAATAAAGTTCCCACCGTAGACACTAGGTGTTCGATACAAAGGCGAAATTGTAAAGAAAATTTGCTTGAGGTTGATATAATTTTGATATTCATTTTGTATTATGGTTCCTTTATCATGTGATATCGACGTTTTGAGTTATATATCAGTATCACAATGAATGATAAATTAGTATTATCATGTAGTATTATAAATTATAAACGAGGTTGTTATTATTTCTACTTTTAAACAATGTGATAATTCACTTATACTTTCCCTGTTCTATTTTACAGCGTTTGCAATCCATCGGTTGTTTTGTCGGTACATCGGAAAATGTTTTATTCAAATTGTTGAAGGACAAAAACAATGAAGCTTTCAAAGATGTTTCAAAATTAAACTTAATACCAACACCAGATGAATTTGGCATGGGTTTGCCGTTTATAAACGATAAACAATGCAACTAAAGTAAATTGTATACTTTTATTTGTTTTGCATTAAATTGTTTAAATTAAATGATGCTTATGTCTAATATTGTTATTATTCATTAATCTTATTTACTGTAAAGTGTGATAATTTATTAATTAAATAGTTTGGTAAATAAGATAACATAGTTTATCACACAAAATATATTATGGAATAATGTTATTGTTAGTTTCATTTCAGCAATGACCACTTCAACTGCTCCTTAGCCGATTGCAGGACCTGGAATGTTTCAATGAGATTTTTGTAAATGAAATATGATCTAATGAATTGAAACCAGGAACTCTTTAAAACAGAGTACCTATCCTGTATCACTATTTTCTCCTATATCAATTAATAGGTTGATTATTGAGATTGACACATGGGGACTTACATTTATATGTATCGGAAAGTACAAGAAACAATAGAGGTTTGTTGTAAAATGTAGAAATCTCTTTCTATCTATTTAAAGCCATGTGACTAGAAAAGTTATGAGTATGAATGAGGTTGGAGGGTGAAAAGTTAGAGTTAGAGTTAGTTAAAGGCCGAGAAAGATCTAGATGGTCTGTCTGAAGAGTGATGACATGTCTGTGAAAGGGGTGAGTATTGAGATGACGGCTCATAGAGGGAAGTGGAAGGAAAGGTCTTGTTGTGCCAACCCTATTTAGTGTGCGATAAGGGCAGGAGAAAGAAGAAGACGTAGAAATAAGTATATCCCCTGTGCGACACTAATTTTTCGGCGCCACATAATCTGAAAAAAAAGTTTGATTTTACACTTTACTTTTCTTTTTTTTAAATCATTGCCCTTACTTTAGGATAACATTATCCTGTATTGTAAGGACATTCTGCAAACATAAATTTCAGGCGGAAAAACACCATCCAGATGCGAAACAACTATCCGTGGAACACACAAATACTTGTCCTGTGTGGGAATCGAACCCACGACCCCCGACGCAGAACTATTTAATATTAGTAATTTGGAGAAAGTTGACATTGCTTCTCTCAAATAGCCTATTGAGAGAAAAACATTAAAAGAACCCAAACAGTTTATATCACAATTTTACACATTTAAATAATCGTAAATTCATTAAATTTGAGAGTATCAAATAGCATGATAGTTCTACTCGTTAATAACAGATGGCGCCATCGCTGCCTGATTCAAAATCAACTACAAAAATGATTTGTCAATACTTACTTTTACTAACCTCTTTCAGAAACATAGTTTTAGAACAGCACTTATAAAATTGAAAAAAAAAAAAACTCGAAATTAAGAAGTTACTCAAATTAACTGTGCTAAAAAGTTACAAATTAAATTGAGAATATGCACTATTATTTTAGTATTTCTTTTGGAACATTATAAAGTTTGCTAAACTAATGGTTGTAGTGACAAGTTTCAGATATCTACTATCCCTATGTAAAACACTAAATCTATAGAACCACCCTCAACTAAATACTCTTGTCCTCACTACCACCACAATCAAATCAAAATACTTGTCGTGCATAAGATAGACACCCTCATTTGTGTTAATAGATCAATAATAAAATGGGCATGTCAGAATAAAATTAGATTTATATATCTTGAGTGCATAAAAATCACAAAAAAAAATAGCATTGTTGTGCAAAAAAGCAGAATTCTAATTAAGTGACACTACATAGAAAGAGCAAGTTTGCTATATATTTAAGTAATAAATGGAGAAGTAATATCTAAAAGAACCAAATGTTTAGAAACATTTGTTATTTTCAGTATGCTGTTCATTATGTATGATCAATAATCAGTTTCATTATGAAAGACTGAACATTCAGCCTGAATTGAGGGTATAATATTAAGCTAAAAGAAATACTTCTTAAATCAATCCCATTTAATAATAAAAAAAATTACAACAAAAACAACTAAAGGAAAACAATTATTTTAATAAACTTGCAGTGTAATGACTCTAATAGATAGTATTAAACTTGGTTAGAATCTGAAAAATCAGAATTAGTTTTTATTTGTATTGTAAGCCAACAAAGAATTATATTTAGAATAAAATCAAGAAGAAATCATAAGGAATTAGTTGAAAGTAATGACTTACAAATCCCAAGAGTTGAATATAATCTGAAAGTTGGAATTAGATTCATGAATTGTGAAAATTGTGAAAGAAACTAATTAATAGCAAAAATAAAAGAAAAATTAGTGTTTTTGTGAAATACAAAACACACATGCATAAATAACCATGCTAATAAATTGTTAAATGTTAGTGTAAAAAAAAGTATATGGAAGCGAAAATACAGATAAGAAATGTCGTTAAATGAAATCCATGTATAGGAATAATACAGTAATGACAAGGACATAAAATATACAGGTCATGATGTAGTTGAGAGTTAAGAAAGAACAGAGTTGGATGCAGAACAGAGGAAAATTCTTAGCAATGGAAACAGAATTTTCACTTATATCTAACATAAAATTTTTTAAACGGGAATATAAAACAAAACAACAAAGCACATTCTTTACATCATAAAGAAAATGACGTCGGGATTAAAAGGATGCTGAACACTTTTGTATGGAGTTAACTGTGTATGTCCTATGCCCAAAATTTGTTGTAATTTTTAAAGTGATTTATAACTTATTTCTTTATTAAAATATGTAGAAAAAGTGCGAAAAGATTGTCGCCGCTGTGGGAATCGAACCCACGTCTTCGGCATTCGCGGCCTGACGCTCTAGCCACTGAGCTAAACGGCTGATTACCACACCGACGAAAATCTTAACGCATTCTTCCACATTGTTTTCTTAGCATTTGAAGCAATGCTTGGCGCCATCTATTGTTATATCCTTTCCAGCATACAAACAACAGCGACAATCTTTTCGCACTTTTTCTACATATTTTAATGTTCAATCTTAAGTGCAAAGATTAGCACTATAAACAATTTAAATTTCTTTATTTCTTTATTTTACGTTAAATACAGCCTTCAATGCATTTCTTTTAATGGATATGAAAATAGTTATTGCACTTACTTATTTCCTTTCTTTACATTAAATATCATTGTTCAGTGGCTATTCATTATTATGTTCAAACTATGCAAACTAGTCACATTATGACAGTAATTTAATTATTTTATATATAATATTACAGCTATTTAGTGACGTCGAACCATGTGTATTGAATTCAATGTTTCGATATTTGACTTTTATTAACATTGATGCAGTTTAATGCATATTTATAATCAAATATCGATAATCATTAACCATTCCTACAAAAAATCACACGGGTAACAACTATATAAAAGTTGAAACATATCTTATTTTTATTTACTCCCTCATTCTTACAATGTGTATATTTTTATTTACTCAAACTAAATCTTTAACAAATTATAATTAATTAAAATTTAATTTTTAGTTAAGGGTTTAGTAAAAATATGTATTTAATTGATATGTATAACTCGAATTAGGGCAGAAATGGTCATTGTTGTCAGGGACTACTTTTGATGATATATGGGTGAATTTTTTCTCCTTAAGAAGTTGCCTTAATCACATTATGGCACCATTAAGGCTTAAATTAAACAAGGCTTAGATTAATTCTACGCTTGCATAGCTTACAAAACGTGTCGGTGTCTTTATCTATTTAGCTAAAACTTACAACACCATTCAAGCTTAAACTAAACAATTATATTTTCCAACACAACAAAAACTAATTGGTAAAATCTGTTTTCTATTATTACTATAAAACAAAGTATAAAATGAAACTTCTCATTTAAGTAGTTATTAGATATAAATCTAGAACGTCAATCCTAACCTGAAATATTTACTAACCTAAATTAAATTCTAATATGACCGAAGTACAACAGTGCGGGCCGCGCAACAATTAAATGCATCCGAGTGAAGTCGGATACTAATTGCATAATGATCAAAACTAACTTCAGATGTGTATTTAAGTTTCACGCGGCCTGCAAATGCTATTTGTGCGTGAGTGGCCCCGTGTTTGAAAACAAGCTGACAAGTTAGTCACCAAAAGAACTTGTTCAAGTGGTCCATTACCTGTGCGACGGTTTGCTCGCCGAGCGGTACGTCCTCGGTGCGGAGAGCGGCTCGCCCAACAATCGACGTGGGGTCAGAGTCGAGTATCACCCTGCAATGATAGGTTTTTGACATTCAGTCATACTTAAAAATCAAGCCTATATTGAATTAACAACTTTTAATGGGGAACAATTTTTTTTTTGTTTTGTCTTCCTTACATAATTATATGGCCTTGCTTTAGTATACGGTAGCACGATTTTAGTTGTAATTTTAATATGTAGATAATAAGTCATTGAAGTAAAAACTAGAAGGGTTTTCTGCGGAAATTATTAGTTTTAGAGAAATTAGATATTTAAGTTTTATAGGTTAAATACTAGGAATCGTTCTGAACAGTATTGTCTAGGCCCAAAAGTTTTACATACTTTACATTCTAAAGCATTAGAAAGAAGACAACTTAATGTTTATATGATTTTAAAAATCATTTGTCATCAAAATGTGGGGTGCGAAAATTCAAATTACATTTTCTTACAAACATAAAATAATTATGAATTAATTTTATCACTAGTTGTTTTATATTTGTGTTTTTTATAACATACTGAATTATTATGGAAAACTATTCCATAACATTAATTATATAGATACTAATTGAGGTTTCTTTAACAAATACTCATATATAAAAAACAGACTTAATAAATACTATTCTTATTTGAATTTATAACAATGGATATTTATAGCAAAACAAACAGTAGTAGCTATATTTTTGTGTCTATACACAAACATTTATTTGTCACAATCTCAAAAAATTAATTGTGCATGTATGTTTGACCAATTTGTCTGTACATTTTATTTTTTATGATAAAACCTATTAAACCTATTTTATGATAATCTATACACTAACATCTAGATTTAACAGGTAAGTTTATAATTTAGTCGACACTAGGAATATTTAATTTCAAAGTTAATTAGTATAAAATAGGCTTATTTTTTAAAATTCCTGGTCACTCACCCTCCATCACAGATTTCATCAAAAGCTAGCATTACAGAATCCAAGTTGTCCATTAGAATGCGTTTTTCAACATTCCTACGTAGAAGTATGCTGACTGACTCATACAATGCATTCAGAACTGATTGGAGTATCAGCTGAAAAATAAAAGAAATAAGATAGAAGATATAATAAGATAATGTGTATTTTTAAAGTAATCAAAATGGATAGAAATCCCCAGGTAGTTTAATGTAAATGTGCATTTATAAAAAATAATTGCTGAATTTTATGAAATCTAATTGGTGTTAGTATGTCCTTGCACTCTTAAAAACTTATGTGATAATTCCTTAAGCATTCTGACAGGTACCCTGTATAGTGAAGCTATTTCTCCTGTGTTGTCATGCTTTGATTGAGTTACTATTGTCATTTTCTTTTTGTACATCATCTTTTTTACAAAGTCCTCATAAGAAAGAATCCATAGGGTTCAATTATGGGCAATATGGTGGCTGCTGCTTAGTCTCTATAAAATTAGTTTATGATAAATTATCTTCATATACAGCAATGATGTGTAGCAAGTAGTGGCAGTTCTCAAGGTCAACCATTTTTAAATAAGTAAGTATGAAGATATTATTATTTTGGCTAATATTTGGATTTGTGTTTCTGTTTAAGGTTTTCTAAAAAAAAAAATTGTCTAAATTCTGTAATTGCTGAGGCATAATCAGTTCAATTAACCAGTAAACAATAATCAATTCAACAGCCTTAGCCATCAGAGATTAAATTTCTTTATAATACAATAAATTATAATACTCTAAACATAACTCAACCATTATTATGTTGTAAAAAAAACTTCATCATATAATTCAACAGTCAATTATTGCATATTTAGAATATTATTCATGTAAATGCTGTCTTTAGTTCATAATACAGTTGAGCTAAAGGTATGTTTTCGGTGGCGCAGCTATTGGCATCAGTGCTTTTTAGGTTTTAGGTTTTTCAGGTTTTAGTTTGCTTTCCACATGGGACAAGTATTTGTGTGACCTACAGATAATTTTTCTGGACTTGGCTGCTTCTTACCAGGGAGGAGTGGCATCAGGCACAGCTTCGCTTAAAACCTAACAATAAACCACTAACATAACAACATGATTCAGAAGTAGTGCTGGCCTCAGCGGTTATAAGGTAGGTAAATGGTACGTTACCTTTAAAGAGATGTTAAACACAAATAATGTTAAAATAACTTATTTAAGTACCTCATTTTCATGAGAACTGCCCATTACATAGAAGAATAGATCCACATTACTCTTGTAGACACAGGTTAAGCCCTCCAGCATTATAATTTCAGCATTAGCTCTGTAATTATAAATATTAAATATGTTTTAATAAATGTGAAGTTTTGTTGAATACAAAGCTTTTGTGAGGTAGTTGTATAAATAAACAAGATAAGAAGAATTTGAATATTAAATAGGTAAGGAGAGATTTGATTGGTACACATTCATTATTTTTATATAAAATTAACTTTCAACAAGTACCTAGAATTAAAAATTAAAAAAACCTGACTGAGTAAAACATGACCTTTTATAAAATGCCAATATACTGTTTGAATGGAACATCTTTCTATTTACTTAAATAACTTTTACATAATATGGGATCAGGTTTTCACCGATTCCAATTATGATGTTAGTGTACAAGGAAAACTACATGTTTCTGCAAATGTCAAAGTTCAATAAAACAGAAAGAAGTAGTGTGATTGACCAACAACATGCATTCGGCTATTGTTACATGATGACAGAGAAAGGAAAAGGGAAATTAAAGTCTAATATTATTCAAATGGATAAATCGGTATAAAATTCTAATATTAGGGGATTCAGTAAGAATCAGATGGAATAGAATATTGACAAACCTGTGAAAATTGTAAGGAAGGATATCATAGAGGGAGACTGAGATATTTGGGCCAAAAAAAAATATAAAAAAAATATGGTCCAGTGTTCCCTCTGCCAAGACATGCGGACACAAAGTGAGTGGCCTTATACATGCAGCTTAGTTTAAAAAAAACTAGGGAGCAAACATGTTTTAATTGAAGGTCAATTATTATACTGATAATTGTTATATTAAGAGATTTATTTAAAAAAAAAAAGACCAGGAATGAAATGATATTTTGGATTGAATATTACCATAACATATCCCTTTTACTGGATTGCTGACATACTCTCCTGAGATATCATTAACCGTGGTTTGGCCAAGGAGCATGTCATGTTTTTGGTAAAACTTGCAAGACAATTTAATTGACATAAGATTTATCAAAATTGGCCCTGGCTTTGGGATTTTTTTAACCAAAACAATTTTGGGATTTTTAGTCAAACATACATGCACAATTAAAACCAAAATCAATTACCTGTGTGTTTTGTTGAATAAGTTCTTTTCAAAGGCTTTCTGTTCCTTTGTAGTTGTAAGTATATCTTTGTCATAGTACTTGGCTAAAATTCTGTTGCCATCATTGTCTAATATACACATGCCTTTAACTATATACAAGGTAGGCTCCTGAAATATGGAAAGCATGTTGTGTTAAAATTTGAAAAAGAAAACGGCATAGTTAGTACTTTTAATTAACTATTCAACTGCAATACAATAAAAGTATTAAATGTTTTTATATGAATTTGATCTACTCTACTCTATGGAGTGGAAAGCTTGAAGGAATATTGAAAGCTATTAGTAATTATATTGTAGTAATTGCCGCTTTTTAAATACACACGATGCCGCTAATATTTTAAATTTTTATACTATAAACATGAGACGATGGAGTAGTGATTTCGATTATGGATAAGTAAATTCGAGTTAGATTTTATATAATCATTTATCTTTACTTACAAACAAAGTACCTTCCATTGTCGTGTGCACCATTTTTATTTCTTATTTAGCGTTTTTATTTTCAATTAAATATTTACTGTAGAACAAATCAAATATGCCTTGACGACTGACGTGTTAACGTGTTTTTATTTTGACATTTGTTGGTTTCATTTTACTGATTACTCTATGGATGACGACCATACTCTATGGATTAGCGATGTGCGACTCGAGTTATTTGATTCGAGTAACTCGAATCAAACCTTAAACTAGTCAACTCGAGTTCAGTTTTAAGCAACTCGAATCAACTCGGTCGTCCGAACGCAAACCGGACGTTATACGCGGGGGCCTCACGAGTTGTTCCGAGTTACACACGCGGCTCTTGTATCTTGTATTAACTGATGTTTTTGCTTTCAGTCCCGAGACTATTAAAGCTTCATCGGACGCAACACACGCGGCTCGCGCGCGCTGTTCGTTAGGCGTTGCAAATCGCATCACCTCGAGTTGAGTGAAATGCAAAGTTACGTTACACGCGCGCGCGCGCCGTTCGTAAGGTGTTGCATCTTACTCGCATCAACTCGAGTTGAGTCGGGATTGTTCGGCCAGGATCGGAAACGGAATTGCGCAAATGAAAAACCGCTTTAAAAGTTTATTTTGTTTTTTGATTGACATTTTGTTATTTGATTTTATTAGTTGGCCGTTGGCGATCCGCGTGCGAACTGACATTTTTGATTTGTTAGTGATCTGTTTTGTTTTGTTTGTAACGACGTCAAATAACAGAAGTGTGGCGTGGGAATTCTTTGTTATAAAAACAGAAGCTTTTTTTTTACTTTATTTTCGATAAGCAATCGACTATGTACAATTACATTTTATAAGTACGACTTTGAGGCGATAGATGGCGGTATTTTTTGTCGTATTTTCTTAAACACGATGTTGAGATCTGCGCTGGAATAATATACACCTTTGTTGATTGATTTTCGAAATAAATTGCACACTAGTGCCAATTGATTGTAAATTTTGTCTTTGAAATCCCAACCGTTGGACACTGTTCGAGGTCGAGGTGTATATAAAAAGGAGAGGATTAGTTCAGACCTCAAACAAAGTTGCGAATCGACTCGAGTAGATATAACATCGCAATTCAACATCATTATTACTTCCTATCTAATTAGCCTCGAGTCGAGCTGACTCGTGCTCTCCGAGTTGGCCGAGTCGTCGTCCCCCCCCCCCTCTCTGTCCCTACCAGAGATTTCGATGCGAGTCAACTCGAGTTGCGATTCGAGTCAGTAGCCAAATCAACTCGAGTAACTTGAGTCAAAAAAAATCCAACTCGTCACATCACTGCTATGGATGATAATGGTGTTAGTGATGGCGTAGAAAGAGACAACAATAATTGTTTTCTCCGTCTAAGGAGATCGTGAGAGATGACGTGTCGTATCGTAACGATACCGTACTTCCAGAATTCAATTTTTTTTTTCATACCACTTATTTTTCCTTCTTGCAGCGATTTAATATAGAGACGCGTGGTCGGCAAAGTATAAGTTTTGGTTAAAACCAGCTTAATAATAGAGTAGAGTCAGTAGAGCATACTCAGCGTAGGTAGAGCATTTCGAAGGATGTCAAACAGGGAAGTTGTTCTTCGCCCTAGAGTTTATGTTTTGTTTGAAGAAATGAAAGAACTGATATTACTATTAGAGGAAAACAGATTACAGAAACGGAAAGCGGTGGTTATAACAAATATGACGTGTGAAAATAAAAGGCATGGCAAGCGTAGCGAATACTTAATTGTTCATATTTGTAAAAGACTAAATATGCTAGGTGAAAAGGTTGGTTTCTTGGGAAATATTTTTTGACAACATTAGGAATTGCGATATAAAATGCGAGAGCCGGAAAAACAAATATCAGTTTCGGGAAAAAGCTTTTTCCTATTTTAAATACAAATTGAGGACATTTTTTCAAAATTTAATTTATTAATTACATCTTATTACAGTTTATATAGATGTAATTGCAATTTTCTTCGAGGCACAGATGAAAATTGTCAGTATGTGTCTTATAGGTAGTGGTGTCACTAGTGACACCACTACACAACTACACCACTACCAACTACTACAAGACACACACGCAATGAAAATTAGAAAATTAGAAAAAAAATTGAAAAATTCTACAACAACCAGATTATGTAGGTAATCTCGTTTTTGTGCAACAAGTAGTTTTTATTTAATAGTCTTTATTTAATATTAACTTAGCCAAACACTCATGCAAGGTCAGCGCTATATGGTGGATGCATTAACATTTCCCAACTAGACTTTCTCTATTTATGCTGAATGGTTAATTTGCCTGTTGAATGATGAAATGACCATGTTTTCTGTTAATCAATAATTACTATTATAATTAATAATTACTAATCAATAATTACTGTTAATAAAATACCGGCATTTTTTTTTAAATTTCTTGCTTGAGTCTCATCAGCTGTTGGCAGTAGATATCTAAATTAATGGCTATGTCCTAGGTGATCTACTTTTCATCATCAGTCATAAATTTTTTCAACAATGGATTAAACACAAAAAATCACAATGTTTTCATAAGATTTCTTGTTAGTTCGTGTGGCATCCAAATATCGAGATTTTATGGATATGTTTCCAGACTTTTCACATGTGTTGAAACATGAGTTTTGTGGTCAATCCTCAGTTCTTCAGTCGTAACAACAAATATAACGATCTTGCTTCATTTTTTTAGAAATGGCATCGATGTTATTGGTAACATGGTATATTAGTCTAGTCAACAAGTATAAAAACGTGTTAAATAGATATAAAGCTCCTAAAAATATGTGCGATAGCTCATTCGATTCGGAATGTCGCCTAGAAAAATGTTTTTTAAGGGTTTATTAGCACATAAAAAATTGCGATTGTTATTAACAAAATAATATTAAAAAAAAGGGTATTTAGTTTTTTGTTTATAATTTCTAAAATAATGGTATTTAATGAATTTTGAAAAATCTCTAGATCTTGAAAGAGGAGGAAATTTCCAATAAAAAAGTCCCAACTCCCGGAATTCTATCTCTATTATTTATAATTTTTTTAACGCTGAAAATAGGGCTCCGCCAGGTCGTTACGGCATAGGCGCGCCGTCTAAAAAGCCGGTATATCACCTAAAATATTTTTTTATAGTATTAAGTAACAATTTAAAAATTTGAATAAATTATGGTGTAATCTAGACACTTAAAGGAAAAAAATCTCGGTGGAAAAAAATTTTAAGTCGATTTTTCAAAAAGTTACACCTTTGTTAATTAACTATTTTTTTTTCCAATCTCTGTTTTTAAAAATTACGGCATAAAAGTTTAAATAATTGGTCTATAAATTTTTCGCTTCGTGGAGCTCTTCTCATTTAGGTACTTAATAAATTAATGCAAAAAAAAAATATTAAAGTTTATTATTTTGTTAATTATAATTTTTTTTAATTAACAAAAACTATATATCAAAACAATTTTTTTAGTAATATCTTATTATTGCTGTTTTTGCATCTAATATAGGTATTAATTAACATTGGAAAAAAAACTTTTTACGTCATTTGTTAAGAAATTGTTTATAAACAAACAGACTATTTTGGGATTTTTAAAAAAAAAATTTTACCATCTTAATGCATAAGTTAAATAATGATTTTTAAAAAATAAACTTTTTCTTAAATATATTTTTTTATAATTTATAATCGTTTTTTTTATATTTCACTTCACAGTTTAAATAATTACTTAAGAAATTATTTTGTTCTTAAAAATCATCATTGATCCTTTTCAATGGATTAACAGAGGAATAAATTTTTTTTATAAATAATTTCATTGTTTATAAACTTAACAATTTGTATCAACCGTTATATTTTTTTTGGAAACTTCAAAAAATTACAAAAACAACCATATATACAAGTAAAGAAAAAAATTTTTTTGTATTTTTTACAGCATTGTTAAATATTATATGATAATGAAATTACAGCCGTTACATAATTTGTCAAGTTATAAATTGTTATAACTTTTAAACTATAAGAGATACGGTAAAGGACCTTCAGGTCATTTTTATAAAGGATTTATTTATCTTTGAAATGAATTCCAAATCGATTCTGTAACTATTGTTTATCAGTTGTTATAAGCATTTGTTTATAAAAATTTTAGATTTTTTTATATGTTTTGAAATTTCATAGCTTATAACTTGTTAACTTATATTGATACAGCTACAGACCCCAAGAACTTTTTTGTTCTATAATAAAATATCGTTCTAATTACGTATAAATTATAGCAATACATATTTTTGTTTAAATAATATACTGGGTTAAAAATTTTTTCAAAATTCATTAAATATCATTATTTTAGAAATTATTAACAAAAAACTAAATACCCTCTGTTTTTAATCTTATTTTGTTAATAACAATCGCAATTTTTTATGTGTTAATAAACCCTTAAAAACATTTTTCTAGGCGTCATTCCGAATCGAATAAGCTATCGCATATATTTTTAGGAGCTTTATATCTATTTAACACGTTTTTGAACTTGTTGACTAGACTATATCATCAGTGAATTTTTTGCCACGACTGGCCGCCCCTAATATGTGGCCGCACTAGGCACGGGCCTATTGAGCCTTAGGGCAAATCCGCTACTGGTCGTTGGAATGTTAAAATTTAATACTTATTTAAAGGTACTAAGTGAGTGTTGCCCTCCATATATTTTCAACATAGGTAATATAGATCAATTACAATGTTTGTGATTTTCGATTCTTTCAATATGTGTCGGTAAAATATATATACAGCGTATCGTTACCATCGCGACAATAAATGAACACACGTCTAACGCTACTTGCCAATAATCATAAAAAAATATTAACGTTAAACAAAATCCATAATTATAAGAAAATATTTTTCAAACAAACTAATTAAATAAAAAAGAAATAAATTTTGTAACATCCTATACAACTCGCGCGACAGCGTCACATTACAAGCCTCTCCTTCTAACAGTATGTTTTGTCTCTTTTAAATTCATTCAACCTATTCATATGCTTTGCGACCTTTACAAATGAACT